TATACCATCTCAGACAAATGGCTGTCCAGTTTCTTCTTAAAAACCTCCAGTGTTCAATCAGGGTTTATAACAGGAAGGTATATGAAAAACAATGTTAGACAAATTATTAACTTATTAGAATACTTAGATAAGAACAACCAAGTTCCTGCAGGGCTCATATTTTTAGATGCTGAAAAAGCATTTGACCAACTGAATTGGCATTTTATGCTAAGAGTAATGGAAGAAATGAATTTTGGTGAAAACATATTACAAGCCCTTAAGGTAATATATCAAAAACAAACAGCACAACTTATTGTTAATGGAGGTTTGTCGGAGGTTTTCACAATAGAGAAAGGTACTAGACAGGGGTGTCCTTTATCGCCATTGTTGTTTGTTTTAACATTGGAAATATTATTGATTAAAATTCGAGAGTCTCAGGAAATTAAAGGAATATATGTTAATAAAAAAGAATATAAGTTGAGAGCTTTTGCGGATGACTTGGTTGTTACTTTGTCGCAACCTGATTATTCTGTAGTAAACTTATTACAGTTGATTCACCATTATGGTTTGGTCTCGGGTTTTAAGATTAATGTAAATAAGACTAAAATTTTACCTAAAAATTTGTCGAGTCAGGAGAAGCAGATTTTGGTTAACTCGACGGGTTTTGAGATTGTTAATAAGGTAAAATATTTGGGGGTGATGCTGTCTGTTTCTAATGCAAAACTATTTAAAAATAATTATGAAAGGTTGTGGGTCGGGTACAGAAAGACTTGAAGAATTGGGAAAAGCTGCAATTATCCCTCATGGGAAGAATTGCAGTGATAAAAATGAATATTCTACCCAAGTTTCTTTTTTTGTTTCAAATGTTACCAATTTTGAAAAATGAGATTAATTTAAATGAGTGGCAGAAGGGTCTCAATAAATTTATTTGGGCAGGGAAAAAACCAAGGGTTAAGTTCAAAATTATGCAAGACTTCCGTGAGAGGGGCGGACTCAAGGTACCAAATTTGAAATTATATTATGATGCGGTGGTTTTAACATTAATTAGTGACTGGGTAAATTTGACAAACTCTGAGATACTTTATCTAGAGGGATGGGATTTACTTTATGGGTGGCATGCCTATTTAATATTTAATAAAAAAATAGATTGGGCTTTTAAATCTCATATTTTAAGAATTTCTTTACTTAGGATCTGGAGAAAATATTATAAAAGTGATTTTAAAGTACCATTATGGGCTATACCTTGGCATGCGATAGAAGGAATAAAAAGAGGGGTTAAAATGGATATGGTGTCTTACAGACATTTACTTAAATGGGATGGACAAAACTGGCAATTAAAATCACGGGAAGAATTAGCACAAGAAAATTTTACTTATTCTTGGTTCAAATATAGGCAACTACTAGATAGATGGAAGATGGATTGTAAGGTGGGTTTTCTTAGAGAAGATGAAAATCTTATTAAGCAACTGAAGGATCAAAGACAAACCCACATTAAGAGAATTTATGGGTTTTTAGTTGAATTGGACTCAGAAACGGAACTAATTAAAGATTGTATGATTAGATGGGCGCAGAACTTTGGTGAGCCAGTTTCATTGGACACCTGGGAAACTATTTGGGTGAGAAATGTCAAATTTACTCAAGCACAGAACTTAAGTGGAGAATTTTTATAAAATGTTTTATAGATGGCACCTTGATCCACAAAAAATGTCTTATATGTACCCTGACGTGCAACCCAAATGTTGGAGATGTGGTTATAAGGAGGCTTCCTATTATCATATTTTGGTGGTCATGCAGAGAGATAAAAGCATTTTGGATTAAAATATGGTGGAATATCCAGAGAATTTTTAGAAGGAGGGTAAAATTTACTCCGCAATTATTTTTGTTAGGTATTGTTACAGATTGTGATACAAAGGAGGTTGTATTGATGTTAAATTTGATCACAGCCGCAAGGCTGTTAGTTGGACAATATTGGAAGAAGGAATCTTTGCCTACATTGCAGGAATGGTTTTTTAAAGTAGCTTATCTGGCGGAAATGGCAAAGATTTCGGCTTTCTTAAAGCAACAAACGCAAGAGAAGTTCCTTGCTGTTTGGGACAAATGGATAAAATTTATACAATTTAGATTGGGTATACAAAAATATCATATAGCTTTTTCATAAGTTTTATTTTTATATATATTATAGATATCTTTTTTGTATATATAAATATAAAGTTTTTAATTTAATTTTTATTTTTTTTATTGCTTAAGCCTATATTCTGCTCTGGGAAGCTCAGGGGGGGGGAAGGGAGGGTTTTTGGGAGGGGTGTGGGGTGGGGTTTTTTTTTTTTTTTTATATGTATTGTTTAATTTTCTTTTTCTTCTGTATATGTTGTTTTTTGTTTTGTATTGTTCTTGTTTTTCTTGTAAAATTTATAAAACTTAATAAAAAAAAAAAAAAAAAAAAAAAAAAAAAACCTCCAGTGTTGGAGCACCCAGAACTTCTGGAGTCAAGTTGTTGTTTCAAACATAAACTTTATATATCTTTTTACATTCAAACCTTTTTTTGGAGTTATGTATGGAGGGTACATCATCCTATAAACATTCTCTTTTGAACTGCAACATAATGAAATTTTTATCCCCTTAACCACATATTTTCCCATTTTTTTCCTCCGTATTTTTTGTCCAAAGTTTTGAGTACATTTTGTCATAAAATATGACAAATATAGACCTATATCTCTTTTGAATATAGATTATAAATTTTTTTCAAAAATTTTAGCGAATAGACTTATGATTGTTCTGAACCAAGTGATACATACTTATCAAACAGGTTTTATAACTGGGAGATATATGAAGAATAATGTTAGACAAATCATTAACTTAATAGAATATTTGGATAAAAATAATCAGATTCCTGCAGATTTGATTTTTTTAGATGCTGAGAAAGCTTTTGATCAGTTAAATTGGCAATTTATGTTAAGGTTGGTCGAAGAGATGAATTTTTGGGATAAAATTTTGCAAGCTCTTAGAGGTATTTATCAAAAACAATCGGCACAACTTATAATTAATGGAGGCTTATCCGATGTTTTTCAAATCGGAAAGAGTACAAGACAGGGATGTTCATTGTCCCCTTTGTTGCTTGTTTTAACATTAGAAATTTTGTTGATTAAAATTCATGAATCATTTAAAATAAAGGGAATAATGATTAATAAGAAAGATTATAAATTAAGAGCTTTTGCTGATTCGATATTGGAGTTGTTACAGATTATAAATCAGTATGGGCAAGTTTCTGGTTTTAAAGTCAATAATAACAAGACTAAAATATTATCTAAAAATATGACTAATTCGGATAAGGAGATCTTAGTTAATTTGACAGGTTTTGAAATTGTAAAAAAGGTTAAATACTTGGGGGTTTATATAACTGCTTCTAATGTAAAACTGTATAAAAACAATTATGAAATGTTATGGCTTAAAATGTAGAAGGATTTGAATGATTGGAAAAAATTGCAATTATCTTTGTTAGGGAGAATTGCTGCAGTTAAAATGAATGTTCTGCCAAAATTTCTTTTTTTTTTTGTTTCAAATGATACCTATCTTAAAGAAAGAGGTAAATTTAGAAAAATGGCACAAGGGTATTAATAGATTCATTTGGGCTGGGAAAAAACCAAGAGTTAAGCTTAAAATTATATAAGATGTTCAAGAGAGAGGAGGACTCAAAATGCCGAATTTGAAATTGTATTATGATGCGGTGGTTTTAACGTTGATTAGTGATTGGGTTAATTTAACAAATTCAAATATACTTTTTTTGGAGGGATGGGATTTATTATTTGGATGGCATGCATATTTAATTTATAATAAAAGGGTGGATAGAGTTTTTAAGTCCCATGTTTTAAGAATTGCTTTATTGCGTGTCTGGAAGAAATATTATAGATTAAATTTTAGAATACCGTTGTGGGGAATTCCTGGGCATGCAATAGAGGGGATAAGGAAAGGAGTGAAAATGGATAGGATATCTCGGTGTGGAAAAGATGGGTAAATTCTCTACAGAATAAATATGGGATTAGAAAGTATTATTTAGCTTTTGAATAATTTATAGTTTAAAGTGGGTATTTTTCTTTTTTCTTCTTATTGTTATGTTATGGTTGGACTTCTTGTTTCTATGTATTGGAGTTAAAGTACTTTAAATTTTTGGGATGTATGTATAGTTGATTGATGTTCCTTTAATTTCTATGTTTTTTTTAACCCTGTATTCAGCTCTGGGAAGGAAGGGGGAGGGTCATAGGGGTGGGGGGGAGGTATTTTATTGTAAAAAGTTATAAAATTTTCAATTAAAAAAAATAATAATGTAAAAAAAAAACTGATCCACTTTAGCCAGGACACATTAATCACTTTTACACAGTCCAAATTCTGGTTTCTGCTATATCATTGCAAAAATTTTATTATCTACTTTAAATCTTTCTTTTAATATGTGTACCAAAATTATTGACAACGAAATCCCCCTTTATCAAAAACGTTAAATATTTGTTTAAAGTGATAGGTTTCAATTTTGAAATTGTATAAAATTCAGCTGTGGTTCCCATTGAGAAAACAATAAGACAATAACTATTGGAACTTTTATTACCAGTCCAGCTTTAATATATTTATTATTTTATTTACTAATTTAGAAGAAATATATGGCCACTCAAGTGATGCGCCACGAGAGGAAAACATTGTTTAATAACCAGTATTGATAAGGTCATTCAAAATATTTAAAACTATTGTGAAACCATTTCAAATGCCTCAGAAGAGTGATATGTTGGTGCCAGAGCTTAAAAATATACCACTATATTATAATAATATAATATACAAATTTATGAAAAAAAAATCATTCACATAGAAGTCTATGAAGATTCTCAATCATCTGAAGAATTGAAGAAGCTTCTTGGATAAGACACAAAATGTTTTCAAGGAAAAATCCAAAGATGTCCAGTTGCCTCTTGGAAAAGCATCTTGGGGTCAATCGCATAGAAGTGAATATTTTGATCTGTTTGTCATTTTACCACACATTATATAAGAGTATGCAATTTCATTTGTTTATTATTTGTCCTTATCAATCCCTCCTTAGTATTCAGCTCAGGTCTCAGCAGGATAATATAAACTTTTGGAAAAAAGATACAGGCAAGCAGTGCAGCCCCAGAGGCCAAAATGGAAAAGATCTCCACAGCTACCATATATTTGCCTTTACTGCTCAAATAAGTTGGGATAAAAGTTAGCCAAACACTGCAAAACATGAGCATGCTAAAAGTGATGAATTTGGCTTCATTGAAAGCATCTGGCAGATTTCTAGCTAAGAAAGCCACTATGAAGCTGATGATGGACAGAAGTCCCATGTAGCCTAAGACAAAGTAAAACATAAAGGTAGAGCCTTCATTGCATTCTGCTATCATCTCGCTTGGCAGGGATTTCATGTCCAACCTGGGGTATGGAGGAGCAATGGCAAGCCATACAGTGCAAATGTTAGCTTGAATGAGAGAGCAGAAAAGGATAATGGTGTTGGCCAGACTTTTTCCCACCCACCTCCTCACATTGGATCCTGGTTTAGTGGCCATGAAAGCAAGAACCACAGTGCTTGTTTTGGCCAACACACAAGAAACTGCTACAGTAAAGATGATACCAAAAGCAACATGACGAATGAGGCAAGTGACTTTGTGGGGATGGCCAAGGAATAAAAGAGAGCAGAGGAAGCAGAGCAGGAGAGAGGAAAGAAGAATATAGGTGAGTTCTCGGTTATTGGCTTTGACTATGGCTGTATCACTGTGCTTAATAAAAGTAATCAACACCAAGCCTGTGACCAGTGAAAAACAAAGGACAATTGAGACTAAACCCATTCCTAATGGTTCTTCATAGGAAAGAAAGGTTATTATTTTGGGGAAACAGCTGTCATTGCTCTGGCTTTGATACTGATCATCTCGGCACTGCATACATTCATCCATGTCTGAAAAGAAAGGGGAGAAAAATTGTCAAGAAAAATAAGTGTATCTATTAGAACTTGACTAGATCAGAAGCCAAATGATGATACCAAAGTTGTAAGTCTTTATTTTCCATATCAATTCACCAATTGTGATAGAATATCAGACTGACTGTCAGAAAATGGAAGTGTATGTGGAACCATTTTAGAAAAGAAAATTAAATGTCATGAAAGTATAAGAAATTATAAATAACTATTCTTTGATTTTGTTGTACATAAATAAAACCTGGGAGAAACTCTGATAGGAAGCATCATAGTTGATTTTGAAAGTCATACCAGACTAATTCTGAGCATGTAGGACAATTCCAGAAATGCTACAAAAAACAATTACTTCTCTGATTTTGTTATGCATGAGTTATATTAGAAAGAAACTCTGACATTCACAAAAATTTGTCAACAATAATAAGTTCATGTTTATTAATTTTTCCTACTGCAAAACTCTGATACCAGCTCAATTTGTGTTACTTCTCTGATCTGGATGAAGGCAATCCTCTCATGTGGAATGGCACCACTTTACAGGTCTGATAGATAGTGGGTTCCATGTCATCTACCTGTCTTGTTGGAGATCTTTCCTTTTGGACATGGTAAGCAATCATAGCAACAAAATTGTTCCCCTTCCTTCTTTTGTTTCTGAAATCCTGGCTGGCACGAATCACTGCACACAGAAATAGGACATACCTGTCCATAAAAATCAAGAGTCTAAGTTGTTTGGAAATTTAAGAAAATTAGATTTGTGAGTTTAATATATATCAGCTGAAGGGCAGGAAACAAATGACCAAGCATGCATAAAAATAATGGCAGCTGACTGCATGAAAAGAAAATGGGAAAAGCATATTTTAAGGAAAATAGTATCTTTTAGGATTTTAATTATTTAGCTCAGGAGAATGTCCACATCATGTTTTTCATAGCAAAGCCCATTTCATAGTGTCCTATAGTATTTCCTACAATTTTTTTCTAGTGACCAATTATTCTATATTTATTTTTAATTAAGGATTGATCCATATTTCCTGTGATTAAAATATTTGCATTATTTTTAAAATGCTAAGAATTGTGTTTTTTCCTTTCAACTGTTATGATCATTTAAAATTATTACTGCTAGTAAATGTTGCATTACTAAAATGGCAACACTTAATTTTTACTAGAACTACAACACTGGCATGGACCAATTTTGCAGCATTGGAAATTTGTTATCCAAGATGGCCAATTTTACTGAGGGAAAAACTGTTAAAGAAATCTTAGAATCCATACCTGGTTAAAGGTTTTAGGCCACTCAATAATTTCATCATGTATAAAGAATTGTTTTCCTTCAAAAGCTGTTGGTTTTACCTGTCCAATTCTAACTTTTTTGAAGGAGTTGTTTGAAAATAACCTTGTGTGCATTATATCCAAACCAGAAACAATTTCTCCTTTTTCATTAAAATGCATGTTCTCTCCAGCTGAATTGTTGAATGAAATGTCACGAAGAAATGCATGTAACTGTGAGAAAGGGAAAAGAATAGAGGAATAGTATAATTGAGAGTACAATGTCAATCCATGAGAATGTTGAAGCACAATTATTATGTAGAAGATAATGTAGGAGAACACCCATGTTAGTCCTATCATAAAAAAAATCTATGTGCCACAGCTACCAAAAAAGCAAATGTGGTTCTAGGCTGCATTAACAGAGGATCTTAATGCAAGATCATGTGAAGTGTTTGTGCCAGTTTATAATGGACACTTGGAATATTGCATCCAGTTTTGGTCACCACAATACAAAAAAAAAGATGTTGAGACTCCAGAAAGAGTACAGAGAAGAGCAACAAAGATGATATGGAGACTGGAGGCTAAATCAGATGAGGAATGGTTGTAGGAATTGGATATATCTAGTTTAATAAAAAGAAGATCTAAAAATGACATGATAGCAATTTTCCAATATTGGCTATCATAAAGAAGGGGGGGGGGTCCAAGCTCTTCTCCAAAGCACCAGAAGGCAGAAGAAGAAGTAATGGATGGAAACTAATCAAGGAGAGAAGCGACCTAGAACTAAAGAGAAATTTCCTGACAGTTAGAATAATTGATTGGTGGAATGGCTTGCCTTCAGAAGTTGTGGGTGCTCCATCATCAGTGGTTTTTGAGAAGAAATTGGACAAAAGTATAGTGCAGGGGTGTCAAGCTTGCAACATCACCTGACATGTTGCGACGTATCATGACTTTTTTGCCATTGCTGGCAATGGGGTGGGTGCGATTTCGCTACGATGCATCCGCCTGCAGGCCAGCAGTTTGACACCCCTAGTATAGGGTCTCCTGCTTGAGCAAGCAGTTGATTAGAAGACTCCAATGTCCCTTTTAATTGTGTTATTCTGTAAAACTGAAGGAGTCTACTAGTGCAAAGAATAAGCAAGGTGACCCAACAGAAATATGCAAGATTGATCACCTAGGCAAAAATGGATGTGTAGAATGAATCCTCATAGGAAAAACATAAAGATTCACTTCTCAACTTGCTTTTTGCCCAACCCTATGGGAATTTTCTTCTGCACTTCTCTCCTGCTCTAAATGGTAGACAGGTGGACACTTATGAAGAATGCACAGATGCCTCAAAGATAAATAAGGATTGGGCTGGCCATGAATACACCAATTGATTGATATACATGTCTTACATGAAAAACATTGAGGAGATGGGTTTATGTGGTTTATGCACAGAGTCAGGAAGATGACCTTGATGACAATATGCAAGAGGTTTTGTCTGGGCCAAAGGAGTCAGGGTGTCAGCTGTCCTCTGCTAGATACTGATAAAATCCAGACACAGAAGGAACAGGTGACCAGCAAACTTTAATGCAAAAGAAAAAAGTCAGCTCTGGGAGTGAACTGCTCCCAGTGCTTTACATAGATGTGCTCCACCCACCAACCCCACCCCACTTAGCAAGCAAGCATCTGGTCCATATGGATATTAGGTGCAATGCCCCACCCATGTTTCCCCTCTCTAGACACACCCAAGCAGCCTCTGCCACTCCAGCCATCTGCTCTGACAACCAGGCAGCACTCTGCCTTCCCCCTCCTGCTCCTGGAGGAAGGGAGAGGCACCCTGCTAGCTGTGTGCTCCCCATCTCCCGGCCCATGGCAAGCCCAGGGGCTTGAGAGGCAGCCCCCTCTACCAGGTCCCCTCCTGGAAGGCAAATAGAGACAGGTGAGCTTGCGACAATTCAATCGGCCCCTTCCACGGCTCCTCCTCCTGGTTTTCTGAGGTGCTAGTGATGGAAGGCCCGCACCAGTCACGGGGCATGGACATCCTCCCTCCGCACCCACGATGCTTCCGACAGAGGGTACCCTTTCCACCTCAACAAGTATTGGACCCATCCATGGCGGCTCCAGGAATCCAGGATTTCTTGTATCTCGAACTGGTCACCGGAAACCGGGCTGATGGGGTAGCCACCGGGCCCCTGGTGAAACCTGTTACTGGCTTCAGCAAACTCCCATGAAATACAGGATGCACCTTCCGGAAAGCCCGAGGCAGCCATAACCGTATGGTTACCGGGTTTATGACCTGAAGTACCTTGAAGGACCCTACGTACGTAGGACCCAACTTCTTACAGGGCAGGTACTTGATTGATAGGTATACCCAACGTAGGTACTTGATTGATAGGTATACCCAATCACCGACCTGAAAGGGTTTGTGCTCAGCCCTTTTTTTATCAGCCTGCCTTTGTTTCCACCCCTGCCTTTACCAATGCTTCCTTAACCTTAGCCCACAAACCTTCCACTCAGGCCATCTGCTCCTGGGGTGTACACAGCAAGGGGTGTAATGTTTTTAGGAAGCCAAAATATCCCACTTGCTTGGCATCGTGGCACTGCTTGAGAACCATGTGTCTCAGTAACTCTGGTAGGTACAGTTTATTGCCTTTCCAAGCTAAACCGTCCCTTTGTGTCAAGAGGCCGGGGTGGTCTTTCAACCAGGGATCACTCCGAACGGCCTTTAGTAGCTGTTGGTTTAGATCACCCACCAACTGGCGAGGAATCACTCGAGCCACCCCTTGTTGGTAGGGTGGCATAATCGCCTGTACCACCTCCTCCCACCTGCTGTGGTATTGGGGCATGCAAGACAATGCATCGGCCAGGAAGTTCCTCCCTCCCGGCACATACTTCAGAGTGAACTGAAACCTGTAGAAGTATTGGGCCCACCAGACATGTTTAGGCGATACGCATCTCAGCGTCTGCAAAACCTCAAGGTTTTTGTGGTCAGTCCATACCTCAAACGGCTTGGTTGCCCCCTCCAGCAGATGCCTCCACGTTGAAAGAGCCCATCGCATCGCAAAGGCTTCCTTCTCCCAAATCGCCCAGCCCTCTCAGCAGCCGAAAACTTCCGTGATGTGTATGCACATGGCTGCAACATGCCTTGGCTGTTCCGTTGCAACAACACAGCCCCCACAGCTACATCACTGGCATCTGCCTGGACTACGAAAGGGCTTTCAGGATCAGGATGGAGTAGGACTGGTTCCTTGGAAAACCGGGATTTCAGGTCTTCGAATGCTTTCTGACAAGCTATCGTCCACTCCAGTGGTTGTCTGGGCTATGGCTTACTCGCTGTGTGTTTCGTAGATAACAAGTCAGTTAGCGGAAGGGCTACTGTGGCAAACGATGGAATAAATTGTTGGTAAAAGGCCCAAGAAACTTTGTAGCTGGCGACAAGTGTGAGGTGCCTGCCACCACAACACCGGTCTCACCTTGTGTGGGTCCATCTCCACGCTTTCCCCTGATATCCTGTAACCCAGATAGTCCAGCCGAGCCCAGTGAAACTAGCATTTGGAGAGTTTCACAAAGAGGTGGGCATCCAACAGTTTCCTCAGTACCTACCTGACTAGGTGGACATGTTCCTCTAAGGTGGATGTATATATTAGGATATCGCCCAAATACACAAGGACCCCACGGTACAAGTGCTCGTGCACTTGATGAGTTGCATAAACACCACGGGAGCCCCTTTTGGGCCAAAAGGCATCACACGGAATTGGTAACTGCTGAGCGGGCAGTTAAACACCATCTTCCACTCATTTCCACTCTTTATCCGGACTCTGTAGTAAGCCTCACACAGGTCCAGCTTTGAGAACACATGGCCCATACCCAGATGGGCCAGTAGGTCTTTCATCAATGGGAGTGGGTATAGATGCTCCACACACACCGCATTAATCCCGCGGAAGTCCACACAGAGCTGTAGGGAACAGTCCTTTTTCTCCTTTAATAAGACCAGGGCAGCCACTCGTGACTGAGCTGGTTGAATGAATCCCCAGGCCAGGTTCTGGTCGATGTAACGTCGTAGGTCCTCCAGCTCTCTGGGTGTCATGGTGTACATCCTGGGTTTGGGCAACTTAGCCCCTGGCAGGATATCAACCGCGCAATAAGTAGTGCGGTGAGGTGGCAAGACGTTGCACTCCTGCTCACTGAATACCTCAGCAAGATCATTGTATACCTCCAGAAAGGGGACATCTTCCCTGGATTCTGTCAACTCTGCCTTCGCCTTCTTGTCCATATACCCTGCTCTCTTTTCCCCAGAATCATGTAGGGGCCTGAGGACCCACCCGATACAGAGCCTTCGGTAACCCCCTTCCCACCATATCGTAGGACCCCATTTGTCCAGCCATGCCAAACCTAAAATCATTGCCTCAATCCATAGATGGGACGACTATGAAATGGAGAACCTCCCAATGGGATCCCATGTCCAGCCAGACGGGTTCCGTGACAAGATTAGCTGGCGCCCCTCCCAGCAAAGACTTGCTCGAACCAGATGGGGTGGGCTACTTGCTGGACTCTGATCCCACTCTCTGCTACCACCCTTTTGCTTATTAAACACTGAGTGCACCCTGAATCAATGAGGGCTTGGTAGCCTCTCTGTTGGCCCGTTTGCGGGTTAGTCAGTGTCACAGGGAGAACGAAGAGCATTATGGGCTCGCTTACCACGGGATCATTGGCTATGTTGTCATCACTGTCGTCACCTACCAGCCAATACCTTGTCTCTGCTGTTGCCTCCTCCTCCTCCTTTAGGATCAACCGCTGGGATGTTACTGCCTCCGGATGCTGCGCCGCCCTTGACCTGTCAGGGGTTCTGTTAGCCCTTGGAGTGGCCTTTCCAGGGTCCAAGGAAGGAGCCTGTGGACTCGGGGCTGGACAGTCCTCTGCTCTGTGGCCTGGCTGGTTACACCGGAAACAGTGGAATGGCGCCCTGACGGAAGGGGCGGAGGGACCCACGTCTGCAGAGGGACCCCATCTCCCCTCCTCCTGTAACTTTGCTGTCGATCTTCCTGGTATGAGCGGTTCCTCGGCCTTGCTCCGAAAATCCTGGAGACCTATGTCCAGATCTATAACCATCCAGAACCAATCTTGGAGACAACTGGGAACCCCCTGGAACACGCAAGCCTGGTGCAGCTCTCAGTCGAGACTTGCCCAGAAATGGTGGACAAGTAGGCATTCAGGCCAGTACTGCAGCCTTCCTGCTACCCTGCGGAAGTCACGGATGTAGTCAGTTGCATGACGACCACGTTGCCTCAATGCCAGCAACTCTGCCTCAGCGCGCTGAACCCAGGAGCTGTCTTCAAAGTGGGTATGCAACACATCCAGGAACAGCCCAGCGTCAGCCAGCTCCCGGGCATGATCGCTGTACAGGTCCGCCGCCCATGCCACTGCCTCACCCTGCAGTCCTGGTGACACTGCCACCACCATGGCCCATTGAGATGGATAGAGCCGAGCATATTGATCCAGATGGCTAATCACATGGCTTAGGAACATTGCCAGGCAATCTGGATGTCCATCAAATGTGACCAGTATGGGAGGTGGACCCCACATCAGTCCCTGACCTCGGGGTCCTATAGGGTAGGCTGAGCCACGTAATGTGTCAGCTGCAGGCAGTGGGCCTTAGATGCTGGAACCCACATCCTTCTGGCTGGAGCCCCTTCCAGCAGGCAACCCCCATGACCCAAGAGCTGACCGATCCATCTATGCAGACTGACTCTGGACCTGCAGTGCATCCAAAGAAGACCCTCCTACCATGGAGACATCTGGAGCAGGAGGTTGTCGCAGCCACAGGCTGTCCAAAATGAACCGTCCCAAGTCAGGATGTCTGCATGGTGCCTCTGGTCAAGGCCATGAGGCTTCCTCTCTTGTGGCCATCCGTCATGGCCAGGAGGGGGCGTCCTGATAGCCTGCCTCCCTGAACTGGTCCCTCAACACGTCCTTAGTATCTTGACCAGGAGTGGTGGAATAGCTCCACTCATCCTTGTCATCTCCCATCAGCCGTCTTTCCCGCCAGTCCATCAAAGAGGACCTAGGACCTGGTGTTGTCACCCACCCAGGCTCCACGTTGGCCAATGCTGGGCTGTGCCACTATTCCCCAGATGCTGCAGAAAACACAGGGCCCTGGTTCTCACTCGTAGGGGCTGCAGGCCCCGGTGCCACCATTTTGGGCCTGACTACTGGCTGCAGATCCTGGGCTTCAGGCTCAGGCCCTGTTTCACCAGCTGGAGCGGCCTCGACTGTCTCAGTAGGAACCTCCTGTGTACCCTCAGCCATCTTGTCAAAGTCCACGACAACAGGCAATAAGAGGGGAACAGGAAAACAAAGCGAGTGCTGACTTACTGTCAGCTGTCCTCTGCTAGCTACTGATGAAATTCAGACACAGAAGGAACAGGTGACCAGCAAACTTTAATGCAAAAGAAAAAAGTCAGCACTGGGAGTGAACTGCTCCCAGTGCTTTACATAGATGTGCTCCACCCACCAACCCCAACCCACTTAGCAAGCCAGCATCCGGTCCGTATGGATATTAGGTGCAATGCCCACCTGTGTTTCCCCTCTCCAGACACATCCACACAGCCTCTGCTGCCCCAGCCATCTGCTCTGACAACCAGGCAGCGCTCTGCCTTCCCCTCCTGCTCCTGGAGGAAGGGAGAGGCAGCCAAGGTAAGGAACAATTCCCCCCTCGTCATGCTTGCCCAGTCCCAAGGTCCAGCTGGCAGGAGGAGTGTCTCTGATGTCCAGCTCCTTGGAGGATGGCACCCGAGGTGTCTGGTGGCCATGCTGGCTCCCTGCTGCCAGCAAGGAGCCAAGCCACCTCTCAGCTGAGTCTGAGGAGCCGGGCTGACGTTCGGGTGATGGGCGGCGCCTGCCTCGTCCACCGCCTCCCAGCTGGCAGGCATGTGCTGACCCAGCTCTCAGCTGAAAGTCAGGAGTCGGGCCGTTCCTCACCACCTTGCCGGTTCCCTTCCGACCATCTGACACCTACCTGACTCCCAGCTGATTGTCAGGAGCTGGGCAGTTCGTGGGACCCGACGGGCGTCAGTCGGCTGTTGGCTGCGTGCTTCCCATCTCCCGGCCCATGGCAAGCCCGGGGTCCTGACTCAGGGTATTTCTTAAAGTCCAAAAAGGCCAGATAATGTTTGGAAATTAGTATAGGATGAACCCAAAGGAGGGGTCAAATGCATCGTAAGTTACGAGTCCCTGCTTGCTTGCAAAAGATTCAAGTCTAGGCTAGACATGTCAAACTCACGACTTCATGTCATGTTGCACAATGTATCAGAGCTTTTTTCCCATTGCCAGCAATAGGGTGGGCATGGTTTCCTGGTGACGCGTCCGGCCCATGGGCCGGCAGTTTGACACCCCTGGTCTAGGCCATCTTGAATGCCTTTCTTATCTCCCACTCATTTCCCTTGACTGTTAGTTGGTCAGATTCTTGTGGAGAGCTTAAGCTTGCAATAAATCTTTATACTCATTTGAACTGTCTGAGTCTTCTGATTTCCCTGGTGCTTGACAATTGGATCATTACAGAAGCCACTCTAATCACAGACTCTAATAAGGAGGAAGACATAAAGCACAAAAAAGTTTACAAGCTTGTTTCATTACAGCTAATCTTGATAAAAACATTCTTAATAATTTCCTGGCAACCCTCATACATAGGGCTGAGAAGTAATATCTTTTCCAACTATGGTTTCCCATGAAAACTATTATGGCCACAGGTAGCTAAAGATGCAATTATTACTTTTAGTCCTCAATATACAGTTATATGAAAAAGTAGTAATAATAATTATAATTATAATGTTGGAAGGGACCTTGGAGGTCATTGAGTCCAACCCCCTGCTCAGACAGGAAACCCTATAACATTTTGGACAAATGGTTGTCCTGTTTCTTCTTAAAAATTTCCAGTGTTGGAGCATTCACCGCTTCTGGAGGCAGGTTGTTCCACTGCTTAATTGTTCTAACTGTCAGGAAGTTCCTCCTTAGTTCTAGGTTGCTTCTCGCCTTGATCAGTTTCCATCTATTGTGTCTTGTCCTGCCTTCAGGTGCCTTGGAGAATAACTTGACTCCCTCTTCTTTTTGGCAGCCCCTGAGATATTGGAACACTGCTATTATGTCCCCCCCTCATCCTTCTCTTCGTTAAGCTAGACATACCCAATTCCATCAACCTTTCTTTATATGTTTTAACCTCCAGTCCCCTAATCATCTTTGTTGCTTTTCTCTGTACTCTTTCTAGAGTCTCAACATCTTTTTTACATTGTGGTGACCAAAACTGGATGCAGTATTCCAAGTGAGGCCTTGCCAAGGCACTGTAAAGTGGTATTAATACTTCACATGATCTTGATTCTATCCCTCTGTTATTGCAGCCTAGCACTGTGTTGGCTTTTTTGGAAGCTGCAGCACACTGCTGGCTCATATTTAAATGATTGTCCATTAGGACGCCGAGATCCCTCTCACTAATATTGAGCAAGGTACCCCTATACTGTACCTGTGCATTTGTTTTTTCTTGCCTAAATATAGAACCTTACTTTTTTCACCATTGAATTTCATTTTGTTAGATAGCACCCAGTGTTCAAGTCTGTCCAGATCCTCCTGTATCCTAAGCCTGTCTTCTGGAGTCTTGGCTATTCCTGCCAGCTTGGTGTCATCTGCAAATTTGATGAGTTCCCTATCTATTCCCTTGTCCAAATCGTTGATGAAGATGTTGAAGAGCACTTGTCCCAGAACAGAGCCCTGGGGCACCCCAGTACACACTTCCCGCCATATAGATGCGGTTCCATTGAGGACCATATGCTGAGTACGGCTGGTCAGCCAGCTACAGATCCATCTGGTGGTGATGCTGTCTAACCTGCATCACCAAGTAGTATCTTATCTTATCAAGTAGTAGATTGTGATTTACTTTGTCAAATACCTTACTGAAGTCCAAGTAAATTGTATCCACAGCATTCCTCTGGTCCACTAATTTTGTCATTTAGTCAAAGAATGCAATAAGGTTTCTCTGGCATGATCTCTTTTTGATAAACCCGTGTTGACTTTTAGTAATGATTTTGTTTGCCTGTAGGTGTTCGCTGATTCGTTGTTTGATTATCTTTTCTACAATCTTCCCAGGTATTGAGGTCAGGCTGATAGGTCTGTAATTTCCTGGATCCATTTGTTTCCCTTTTTGGAAGATGGGAACTACATCAGCTCTTTTTCAGTCCTCTGGTAGTTCCCCAGTGCTCCAGGATCTTTGAAAAATATAGTTCAGTGGTTCTGTGATCACGTCTGCCAGTTCCTTGAGAACCTTGGGATGTAATCCATCTGGTCCTGGTGATTTGAACTGATCTAGGCTGGACTGGTGCTCACTTACCATTTTCTTGTCTATCTTAACTTATGTTTCTATTCTGTTTTTTATGGCACTATTTTTGATAGATTGGTCTGCTTTTTCCCTTTGTATAAAGACAGGTGTGAAAAACAAGTTAAATAGTTCTGCTTTCTCCCTGTTGCTTGTCACCTTCTTGCCACTTTTACCCACTAATGGACCAATAATTTTCTTTTTTTTCTTGTTTTTTACATGTTGAAAGAAGCTTTTTTTGTTATTTTTGACTTTGGTCGCAAACCTTAGTTCATTTTGAGCCTTAGCTTTCCTCACTTCATCTTTGCAGGCTCGGGCTATTTGCTGATATTCTGACTTAGTTATGTGTCCCTCTTTCCACTTTCTATACTTGTCCTTCTTATCTTTCAAGTAAGCACACCCTCTTTGAGTTCTATGGTTTTATGTGTCAGGACATAGTAAAAATAATATGATCCTTAGCATTTCTTAAAAGTAGGTAAAAACAATCTCAGATGAAAAACAACACATGACATATTATACCATGATATTATTTATTTTACAAAAAGAAAACCAAAATGAGAAGTTAAGACCATAGATCACATTTGTAAAACCATAGAAGTCAAAGAGGGTGTACTTACTTTTTCATGTGAGTGTACATTTGATTCTAGCAACAAGATCATGGATTGGACTAGAAGACCTCCCGGGCCCCTTTCAACTCTGTTATTCTGTTATATCATTCTTTTATTGAAATATTACCTGCCAAGATTGCAGGTTTTCAAACTCAAGACTTTGTTCCCCTGTTCTTACTCTGTGTTTGATCTTTGATGAGCGCATAGCATGGAGAGCATGAGCTACCACATAGACAGCATTGTAGATACTATAGCTGTGGCCATTCATTCTCACTTCAAAAACAGACCGAGGAGGCTTATCCAGGTTCTCCTTCCCAGTACATAGTTCCTCTTGCTCCAATGGCTCTTCAGTATTTGGAAATGAACATTCAAAAACATGTTCCCAGAACAACTGGAGAAAACCATCACCTTCAGGCTGATATGGGTTTTTCTTCTGAAGATACCTCTGGAATTCTTGAAGTTCTTTGGAATGAATTGCAAAGGATATAGCACCTTGGAACATTTGAAAATCCATCCGTCTGGTTACGCCCGTTACTGCAAATTCCATCTGGGCTGTCATGATCCAGACCTTCCCAATATACGTGTTTTCAGACACAAGAAATGCATCATAGGTGAGTAACCACAAAAAAGTCAGAGTATCTCCATAGATAACAAGGGCTTTGGCCCTCTGATCCACGTGGATATTTCTAAATTTACCCATGTCATTGTGAGAAAAGACACGACCTTGATATGGGAACAACTGTATGAAAGCGGTACAGATTCCTTTCTCCAAAAACAAGGCTTCTATGGTTTTTAAGAAATATTTTCCACTGTCATCACCTCCTGTCAAAAGACCTACCCATGTCCAGCCAAAATGTAGAAGCAAATGGATAATTCCCATGTACTGGTTTTTATCATTTGGGACCATGCGATAAAATTTCGGAACTTCAGTTGTTAAAATTTCTTCTGGAGCAAATGATCCATAGGTGAGCTTAAAGACAAAATGCAGAGGAGAATGATATATTTTTGTAAATAAATCATATCTGCAGAAAAGAAACTCTTCACTATTTCTCTTTGCAAAAATAAACAGTTCTCCTGTTATTTTTATTTATTCATTAATTTATTTATTAAATTTATTTGCCACCCATCTCAATCACAAGGTGACTGTGGTTAGTTTACAGTGTTAAAAAGAATAAAACAGTGCAACAATATAAAGACAATAAGAGTAAAACATTATAAAAATACAAATTATCAGCTATAAATAAAACTAAACATTTGCTTATTTAATAGAGATGGGGTAATATGTGGTAAACATTAATTAGGTATTAGGTAAGAGCCATGGTGCAGTGGTTAGAATGTAATATTGCAGGTTAACTCTGCCCACTGCCAGCAATTTGATCCTGATGGGCTCAAGGATGACTCAGCCTTCCATCCTTCTGAGGTCAGTAAAATGAGGACCCAGATTGTTGCGGGCAATATGCTGATTCTGTAAACTGCTCAGAGAGGGCTGCAAAGTGATATATAAGTCTAAATGCTATTACTAATTAGAAAAAAGTATTTTGAAACTCATCATCCTAGGAGTCCTTATTTCTCAACTAATCTAAATCTATTCCTCATCTTTTATAGTACCATGAACACATCTACACACCACTGCAAAGAGACAACCAAAAAATCCAAAAGTAAACAAAAGACCCAAACATCTCCTCACCAGGAATCAACACCCATATGAGCAGAGATTAACACCAACATTAACACTAGACCAACAGTCAATAAATAATATCCCAATCAAGGAACTACCAATGCAGATAGACAAGCTAACACTAAACAACAGCCTAACCAAGGAACCACCAGGAACATTCCCCCCCCCCCCAATGCTGATAGGGCAAGCCACTAGTACATAAAAATAAGAGCAAACCCCATTCCATTCTAGCAATGATAGTGTTACCTAATTTGGCAATAAAATGCTTGCAAAAAAAAAACAAACCCACCCATGAACATAGAAAGCACCAAGGACCCCATAGACCTTAATTTTCTAGCTCCCTTTTCTCATTCCAAAATCACTTGTGTGATGACTAGAAGATAAGTAAAAAATAGCAAAGGCCATATTCCCTGTTGCAATGCATCTGTCAACTCTACAACAAATCTGGCTGTAGCCATCTTAGTTGTTATAGGTTGCCACATGAAAGGGAGGGGAAATTGAGTATCTCTGCTAGTCTAAACAATGTTATGTCCCATGAGAATCAAGGTCATTCTCTAGCTTGGGAGAAAAGGGTTGGGTATTTTGTTAGAAAGCCCACAAAATTGTTTTATTGAGTAGTGTGATTAATTGTATAACATTGGTGGGGGGGGAGATTTTACTTTGTAACAGTGTAACTCTTTGGAGGGAATTTCAGACTTGGCTTCACTTTTGATTGTGCCAATATTTTGTATCCAATAAATATGTTCTTGTAGGAAGCTACAAGGCTTGGTATTCTGATTTATTTGGCTCTATCTATTGGAACCTTGACAGCATCATTCTCACCTGTGGAATCTTGTAGAGTCCTAAAACATCTGCCATGTGAAAAGAGGTGTCAGATCCAAGACCTCCAATTACAGAAATTACATTTTTGGGGGCTCCACATTCATAGTTTGGAACAAAACTGCACAATTTGAAGAGCAAATTGAGAAGACTGTAATAGGTCATCCGATCATCATAGTAGGTGTCATAGATGTACAGGCCCAGTGTGACATTTGGCAAAATTGTTGGAGCTTCATTGATGGTATTTACAGCAAATGCCAAAGCCAAAGCATTCTGGTAGAATTTGGTTAGCATCCTTCAAATAGAGTTATAAGTCATTTTATAAATAAATGTTGTGATGTGATCAATACCAATCTGGTTGACACAAGTCTAGTGAAATTGCAGAGTGGCTGCATTATGAAGATTAATCAGATGTTTCAAAAGGGGTGAATGATTAAGAGAGGAGAAAATAATGAAAAGGATAAGGGGGAAATCACATGGTTGAAATACATGGTGTTTTGAAATTTAACTGAACAGAACTACATATTTAGAAGTCAGTAAAAAGTGTCCAAATTAAAATAGATTAGATTAGATTAAATTAGAAATAGACAGACAGACAGGCAGACAGACAGATGTGTGTGTGTGTGTGTGTGTGTGTGTGTGAGAGAGAGAGAGAGAGAGAGAGAGACAGAGAGACAGAGAGACAGAGAGAGAAAGAGAGGAGAGTTAAAGTTAGAGTTAGAGTTGGACTTACAGCAGGCTTAGACTTAGTCAATAAAAAGTGTCCAAATTAAAATAGATGGACAGACAGACATACATACATACATACATACAGACAGACAGACAGATAGATAGAGGTGTGTGTGTGAGAAAGAGAGAGACAGAGAGATGAATTAGTTAGAATTAGACTTATACTTTGTGTTTAGTGTTACTAAAAAGTGTCACAATAATTTTAAGTACAGGTTATTCACAATCCTGAATTGCAACATTTAATTGTTAGGATGGCAAAAGATAGTCCTCTAAAATATTATTCCCTCCCTCCCTCCCTCCCTTCCTTCCTGCCCCCGATTATTGCATATGAAGTTTTTGATTCAGAAAAGCAGTTACAGAAATTATTCTACCTGCTCATCACTTTCAACTTCTGAAGCTTTTTCCAGCCCCAGTACATTGTTTTCACAGATGTAACAAAAACTTAACTTTTCGACTTCCAGTTTGCCATGGACATGTGGAAGACAAGCTCCATATTCCACGTCCGATTTTGCACTGCTGGGGGACCCTGGAAAGGGTCAAAAGTCACCATGTAGGGGCAGCAAGCAAGGAGGGGACTCCCGCTTGATCACAAAAGGGCAGTAGCTGACTGTGGCTCAGATCATGAGCTTCTCGTTGCAAAATTTAAGCTTAAATTGAAGAAAATAGAAAAAAGCACTAGGCCACTCAGGTAGGAACTAAATCATATTTCTGATGAATATACAGTATAGATTTAAGGAATTAGATCTGATAGACAGAGTGCCTGAAGAACTATGGATGGAGGTTCACAACATTGTACAAGAGGTAGCAACTAAAACCATCCCAAAGAAAAATAAATGCAAGAAAGCAAAATGGCTGTCTGAGGAAGCTTTGCAAATAGCTGAAGAAAGAAGGGAAGTGAAAGGCAAAGGAGAAAGAGAAAGATACACCCAATTGAATGCAGAATTCCAGAGAATAGCTAGAAGAGCTAAGAATACCTTCTTAAATGAACAGTGCAAAGAAATAGAAGAAAACAACAAAATAGGGAGGACAAGAGATCTCTTCAAGAAAATTGGAGATATGAAGGGAACGTTTAATGCAAAGATGGGCATGATAAAGGACCATAATGGCAGGGACCTAGCAGAGGCAGAAGAGATTAAGAAGAGGTGGCAAAGCTACACAGAAGAACTATACAAGAACGAGCTTAACGTCACTGACGTCGAGCCAGACATCCTAGAATGTGAAGTGAAATGGACCTTAGGAAATCAACAAAGCTAGTGGAGGTGACAGTATTCCAGCTGAGCTATTCAAAACCTTAAAAGACGATGCAGTAAAAGTGCTACACTCAATTTGCCAGCAAATTTGGAAAACTCAACAGTGGCCACAGGATTGGAAAAGATAAGTTTACATTCCAATTCCAAAGAAAGGCAATGCCAAAGAATGTTCAAACTATCAAACCATTGCACTCATTTCACATGCTAGTAAAGTTATGCTTAAAATCCTACAAGCTAGACTCCAGCAGTATGTGGATCGAGAACTACCAGAAGTACAGGCAGGATTTCGAAGAGGCAGAGGAACTAGAGATCAAATTGCCAACATATGCTAGATCATGGAGAAAGCTAGGGAGTTCCAGAAAAACATCTACTTCTGCTTCATTGACTATGCTAAAGCCTTTGATTGTGTGGATCACAACAAATTGTGGCAAGTTCTTAAAGAGATGGGAGTACCAGACTATCTTATTTATCTCTTGAGAAACCTATATGCGGGTCAAGAAGCAACAGTGAGAACTGGACACAGAACCTCTGATTGGTTCAAAATTGGGAAAGGAGTCCAGCAAGGCTGTATACTGTCGCCCTGTCTATTTAACTTATATGCAGAGCACATCATGAGAAAGGCAGGGCTAGATGAATCAAAAGTTGGAATTAAGATTGCCGGGAGAAATATCAACAACCTAAGATATGCAGATGATACCACTCTAATAGCAGAAAGTGAAGAGGAACTAAAGAGCCTCTTGATGCGGGTGAAGAAGGAAAGTGCAAAAGTTGGCTTGAAACTCAACATTAAGAAAACAAAATCATGGCATGTGGCCCTCTCAATTCCTGGCAAATAGATGGGGAAGAAATGGAGGTAGTGACAGATTTTATTTTTCTGGGCTCCAAGATCACCTCAGATGGGGACTGCAGCCAAGAAATTAAAAGTCGCTTGCTCCTGGGAAGAAAAGCTATGGCAAATCTAGACAGCATACTAAAAAGCAGAGACATCATCCTGCCAACAAAAGGGTGTATAGTCAAGGCCATGGTTTTCCCAGTTGCAATGTATGAATGTGAAAATTGGACCATAAGAAAGGCTGAGCGACAAAGAATTGAGGCCTTTGAACTATGGAGCTGGAGAAGACTCCTGCAAGTCCCTTGGACTGCAAGGCGTTCAAACCGGTCAGTCCTAGAAGAGATCAACCCCGACTGCTCTTCAGAAGGCCAGATCCTGAAGTTGGAACTCAAGTACTTTGGCCACCTAATGAGAAGGAAGGACTCACTGGAGAAGGGTCTAATGCTGGGAAAAATTGAGGGCAATAGAAGAAGGGGACGACAGAGAATGAGATGGCTGGATAGAGTCATGGAAGCAGTAGGTGTAAGCTTAAATGGTCTCCAGAAGATGGTAGAGGACAGGAAGGCCTGGAGGAATGTTATCAATGGGGTCGCGATGGGTCGGACATGACTTCGCAATTAACAAAAACAAGAGGACATGGATGAAGATTAGGAACAGATTTTCTCTATGTTGAAAACAACATATGAAACTATTCCTATAGCTTCTGATGAAATAAGGAGCTACAGAAAAGAACAAGATGTCAGCCTAGATATATGAACCCAAACTTTGATTACAACTAAAGAATCAACTACACAGAATATAATAGAAGAAGTGGAACAATCAATACTATGATAGAAGATTCAACTGATCAACAAATGCAGTTAACTGAAAACCCAGAAAAGGGATTGAATATATTCAAGTAGATAAGATGTGTACTTTGAATACTAGATCTTGTTATGAACTGAGATAAAGAAAATTTTGGTAATTTAAAACTTGGAAGTATAAATATCAAAAGTTAAATTTGAATATTGATTTGTTTATAAAGGCTGAATGTAAAAGTAACTAAGATATATATAAGCTAAAAAACTATTGATAAATGTAATAAATATGTTTTTACTTATAATAAGAACTGTATTAACTTAAATAGGAGATAATAGACATTAAGAGAAAAAGAGAGGAAATATTTGATATTGAAATAAGAGAAACTTTGTTACTAAATTTAAGACATTTGGAAATTAGTAGAAAATAAGAATGTTATACTGTATTATTAATTAGATGATGTTATACTGTATTATTAATTAGATGATGTAAGATGATGAGAAATAGAATGTATTTAAATAGACATGTATCCTGAATATTAGACTTTGTGATTAATTGTGATAAAGGGAACTTTGGTTACTTAAAACTTAGAAATTATAAATATTAAATGTTAATTTAAATATTAATGGGAAACCAAAAATTGGGAAAAACTAATTAGGAAATTTATTGTCTATAAAGAATGAATGTTAAAACAATCAGGATAAGTATAAGCTAAAAATTATTGATAAATGTAAGAATGTTATTTTTATTTAATTAATATAAGAAGAATTGTATTAGTTTAAACATGAGATAGTAAATACTAAGGGCAAAAGAGAGGAAATATTTAATGTGATAGTTTGAGACTTATGCTAAAGATATTTGTATGTCATTGAATTATCAATTAACTCAGCTGCCACATTGCTTTTTAAATACTTAAATGTAAAATTAGAAAATCAATAAAACATTAAAAAAATTAACTTTTCTCCCATTTAACAGAATGGTGTAAATTCACCAAAATTGAGAAAACAAAGGGTCATACTTTTCAAGAGAGAAGAGGCAGAATAATACCAAAAACCTAGAATCAAGATGAAGGGAACAATGTTTGGAAATGTCAATTAATCCATTTAATCTGGATGCATGTATATATACCATTCAAAATAAGTTTTGATTTAGCAAATGGGATTGAATTGCTTACAGTGGAAGATCAAAGCCAATGACCTGTGGAGGGTAATTTCTGAAAGCAATTTCATTGAATACATAAAAGATTTGTGAAGTCATCCCACCAATGAGAAGTGTCCCTGGCTGATACCACTCATGAGGAACAGTGAGGGATCTAGTTGATGGGCACCGTGCAGCTGCACTTTGGCACTCTTCAAGTGACAGCAAAAGGAACAGTGCCAAGAGTCTCACCATCCTTGCAGGCTTGTTTGCCTGGAAAATAGATTCTGCTGTATCTGATTCCAGTTTTGGACACAAAGCAGCAACATCTCTCAATATAGCATTGCACAACAAACACAGGGAAATAATTCTCCCACTCCACCAAACAGTTCAGAGATCTAAAGCCATTCTGGTTCAAACTGGTAGAAAACTTGATAGATTCAAATGGACAGAGTCTGGGCTTGCCTCTTTCTTAAATCCACTTGTATTTTATAAACTCTATCTCAGCTGCACACTGAGATCTCTCTTGCTATCTTCTGAAGAACTGTTGGAGTTCTGATAGAGGAAACTAATTATAATTATGGGGTAATTGTTAGAGAGACAATTAACTCTGCTGTGTATTAGCAACAATACATTGGTTGCAGATGTTCTTTTTCGTGTTCTTGATGGTTTCTCTGATGGGACAGCCAGTGGGAGATAGCTTCCAAGATGATCACATTAATTAAATATGAGCAGAACAGCATAGCCCATTGGTGTAGTTGGATCAAGGGAAAAATAATAAATAAATATTCTGCTGTTCCTTATGTTCCACAATGGGTTGAAACATGTTCATCTAGTAATATGTTTATTGAAAGAACTGAGTTTGAAACTTTTTCGCATGATTTCCTTCAAAGAGAAGCAATATTAACATGTATTTCTGGATACATTTTCAAAATGTAATAAAATGGTTCAGAATGGTATTAATGTATCAATTGATCCCCCAACCACTTTCCAAATTGAGATATTTACAAATTGCTGGAATTGGGTATGTCTAGTTTAATGAAAAGAAGGACTATGGGTGACGTGATAGCAGAGGTCCAATATCTAAGGGGTTGCCACAAAGTAAAGGGAGTCAACCTATTCTCCAAAGAGAATAAAGCCAGGACAAGAAGCAACGGATGGAAACTAATCAAGGAGAGAAGCAACCTAGAACTAAGGAGAAATTTCCTAACAGTTAGAACAATTAATCAGTGGAACAACCTGCCTCCAGAAATTGTGAACGCTCCCACGCTGGAACGTTTTAAGAAGAGATTGGACAACATTTGTCTGGAATGGTATAGTTTTTTCCTGCCTGAGCAGTGTGTTGGACTAGAAGACCTCCAAGGTCCCTTCCAACTCTGTTATTCTATATTTGGATACTTGGATATTTAGATTTGGATATTTTGAAAGATATCCAAATTTATTGGGTTGCAATCCCCATCCTCTTTAATCAGTTCAACTACTGTAATGATAAAAATGTTTGTTTCTATT